AAAGGGTTAACTGTGTGCAGGGAGTGATTTACTGGGGGGTAGTGTGTTGGTGCTTCACTGAAAGCACACTGCTCTGGATGGCTGTGCTGTGCACAGCCATCCAGAGCAGTGTGCCTGAGCCGACAGGGAGGACGACTGTTAGTAAACAAACCAGCCCTGCTTGCCTTTGGAGATCCTCAATAATCACCGTCTGGGACCCGGTGACTGACAGCTGAGGCCATGAATGGTGGCAGAAATGCAAAATCACGTATATATATACACGCGATTTTGCACACCCCTGACGCCCTGTAGCAGTATATCTGCTATAGGGCGGAGGGGAATCGGTTAAGAACCTAACAACTGAAGCCAGCATCAGGCCTGAACCTTATTGAACATGTAAACAGAAGACCAGGTGGCAGCCTTGCAACTTGTGAAATAGATACCCGTTGATGAAATACCCATTAAGCACCAATTCATCTGGTGGTGGGCACTTTAAACAAGAAAGGGAAAACCATGTTCTTGAGTTCATAAGCTTGAATAAGATTCTGACAAATACACCTAGCAATGGTGGAGAATTAAAACAGGCTGCCCTATACAGGTATTGTCAGGATGGACAAACATTCAGACTTTCGAACAGGAGCTGTAGCTGGGAGATAAACTCGAACAGCATGTACCACATCTTTACAACATAGGGAAATTTGTTTAGGAGCAGGACAGAAAGATGGTAGAACAATGTCCTGGTGAAGGTGAAAAAAAAAAAAAAAACATAGGAAAAAAGAAGTCCTGCACTTTGAGAACCTTGTCCTAGTGCAGCCCAATAAAGGTTCTTTACAATTTAACACCACCAACTCAGAAACTATGGCAATACGGAGATAACCTTGCAAGTAAGCATAGACAGAAGAATAGTCAAGAAGAATATCCCTAAGAGATTCAAAGTATAGTCTTCAAAGAGATGACAGAACTTGCCTGAGATCCCATGAAGTCACTGGAGGATATATAAAGGAGGAACAAGGTGAGCAAGAACCTCTACAAAGGCCTTCAACAATTAATTGGCAAACGGTCCTTAAAAAAATATAACAAATCACTAAGGCAGAGACCTGACCCTTAGACCTCATGCATACAAGAAGTTTTTACTTCCGCATTTAGGCAAGTCAGGTGTTTTTGTTTTTCCTGCTTCCAAACGCCCCTCAATGTTAGCCTATGTGTTGATGCACACACTTTTAGCAGTGTTTAGTGCCAGAAGAGTTTAGAGACAGGAAAAAAACCACTGCCAGTGGGTCCAGGAGCAGCAGCATTTTGGCAGAAAATGCTTGATGCTTGTAAATGCGTCTAAATGTGTGTTTAGTGCCTATAAATTATTATTCTGGCCATTGAATTAATAACCAAGTGCTTGATGCCTGTAAATGCAAGTAAACACTTTTACAAGCGTCAGGCGTTTATTCTGCAAAAACGCTGCTGCCAGGAGGAAAAGCTTCTAGTTGAGTTTTCAAAATATTCTGTGTGCATGAGACCTTATTGGTCCTCAAGGCTAAAAGCTAATCCAGACCAGGCCAATCCAAGCTAGAATTCTACGGACTAAAAACTCAGCAAGATGGAATCTCCTTGTCTTGCACCAACAGAAAATTTGCTCATCAAGTGTGATGGTATAAAGTCAATTTCCTAGCTTTCAAGAACTGTGCACAGCCATCCAAAGCAGTGTGCCTGAGCTGACAGGGAGGAGAACTGTTAGTAAACAAAACAGTTCTCCTCCCCGTCGGAGACCCTCAGTAATCACCGGGTGCCGAGTAATCACTGGCTGGGACCCGGTGATTGACAGCTGCATCCGCGAATGGCGATGCGAGTCGGGCACGCACGCCCCTAGCCGGAAATGCTAAATCACACACATACAAACATGGAGCAGAAACAGCAAAAAGGAGAGAGTTGTCTGAGGAGATCAGAAAGAAAAATATAGACCAGCATATCCAAGGTATAGGCTTTAGGACCAGGGCTGGTGCTAGACTATTTAGCGCCCTAGGCAAGACCAGCTACTTGCACCCGCCACCAAATAAATAAATACATACATAAATAAATAAATCATTTTAAAAACAGTAGAAAATATTAAATTAACAAAACTTGAAACTGCTAAATTTCTTTAATTTGCAAAAATAAGTGCCATAAGATGCCACCAGCACCAATAATGAAGCCAAAATCAGTGTCACGGACAGACTGTATCTGTGACTGGCAGTGGCAGGGTGACAGTTGCAGTGAGTGGAGGATGATAGATCCACACTCTGACAGATCCCAGGCTGGAATTCCCAAGGCAATTGGGGGAGATAAAACCCTGTGACAGCAGGCAGCCCCGCCCACACACGCACACCTGAACTGAACGATCCCACACAGTGACAGATCCAACAAACACCCCACCACCAACACTGACACAGATCAGCAGGCTCTAGAAGAGCAGACTGTGGGATCATGATGATGTCTTCACTCATTGCACATGTGATAGATGGCCAGCTGGCCGGATCACACTCACACAGACATGAGACATCAGAGTCAGACATTACCTTCCTCCACAGGCGCAGCTCCACCTCAGCTGATGAATGGGAAGAGAAGGGCTGGAACTCGACAGTGATCAGCAGCCACCAGTCGGCTTGCAATAAGGGTCTGAGTCTGAGAGGAACACTGGAAGGAGCAGCAGCTCAGCTGCTATACTGTCCCCAGACACACGGCATCTTCCTCTGCCCTTTCTGCTTCCCTTCTGCCGCCCCTCCCCCCAGCTGAAGGATCATGCATGATGTGGTGGCAACCCCCACAGAGAGTGCCCATCTGTGCTGCTCCACGGAGCCCCTAGGTGGCAATTAACTATAGGCGGCTGCCTAGTTTGCTTAGTGGAAGTACCAGCCTTGTATAGGACGGACCATCTTTCAAGCAGGATGATGTGCAAAATGTACCCCAGTGGCTCTGTAGCAACTAGAGAATACTGCTAGTAGAAAAAAAGATCTTTATTAAAAGGTAGAGAAAAAAGAAGTAGCTTGCTCCTCTCAGCAGAGAAAACACATCTGTTTTCCTAGGACAGCAGTGAAAAAAGGCATGCCAGGGGTGGGAGAGGTTATTCTAGGCTGTCCTTACAGCTTTGCTTTATCAGTGTGCAAACTGAGGGCAGCAGTATAACCCAATGTACCTGAATTACTTCAACCTGTGTCCCATAATGTATGCTTAAGAAAGGAAGTCTTGTTTACTTATGAATCTGGGGTTTCTTTAGACTGTCATTTACGATCCGTTAGTTGTATTTTAGTTACCTACAGTAAACTGAAGAGACCTTAACGTTGATGAAAAAAAATGATGTGCCAATACTTACCAAATTGTTAAACAAAATTTAGAAAAATGTAGTTCTGCAACCATAGACTGGAGAAAGTCCCACATCAAGTGTATTTTGAGAATGTACCATTAGTACACCTAAATATTAGTAGCTTCCTTGTGTTATTTCTAAAAGCAGTAGAGCATCCTCAGTTGTTGAATCTTGCATACAACATAAAACTTAAAATAGGTAAACATGGGTCCATTACCTAAACCTATGCTGTGTAGGAAATCTATGGTTGCAGAAAAATGCAGGCTGCCATTACCGACATCCTTCTGAAAGTGCTGACTGTCATGATCCTCTATCAGGAGTTGCGCCATCACTCGCTACATACATGTTCTGTGTTAACTCACAGTAATGAAGCCAGAGATATCCAGGAGACTAGCATTTTCAAGTTATCAATGGTAGTTCTAGGTATTTTTCTCATGAAAGATCTTGGTCTGTTTACAAAAAAAAATATGACTACAAGAAATATAAAATACACACTTTAACTGGCATCTTAAAAACCCCTCAAACACAAATAAAAAAAAAAACAAAAAAAAAAACGTGCTTTTTGTAACATTCAATATCTTTTTATTAACAGAGCTAATGCATTTTCAGTATTTTCTATGCTATGTAGGAGAAACAGATATAAGTGTCTTGCTAAACACTCACGTTTCAGTTGCTTTTTATTCTTTGCTGGACCACTGTTCTTTCTAAAACATTTTAATGTACTATTGAATATCAATACACACACTTTTGTGAGCAAGCTTGAATATGTTCAAAGGAGAATAAAATAGCTTACAGTTTTCAACTGAATTGACTACATGTTGTATCTTCCCAAAATGCTCAAATACCCCCCATCCACCTAAATTAAAAAAAAAAAAAATAGGAAGGAAAACAAATATTACAGCTATCACATAGGGTAACAAAGCAAGTGAAACAGCAGAATTGTGGCTGTTTAATAATTTGGCCTTTTTTATTTATCATGGTGCTATTTTGCATTAAATGTGGATGTACTCAAAGGAAAAGCAACTCGCTCTACTACATAGTATTTATTGCTTCACTAATATAGACTCACTGTATTTATGTTCCAATTTATGTTTGTCCTCAACAATGTAAACAGATGGGTTAATACAGAGCCTTCATTTAATTCAAACAAAGACCAATGTAAGAATTTACTAAACTTCACAATAAGAATAATGGCAGTTATCTAAAATATCTCTTGCTGGGTTAAAGTATTATTTAAATGCATAACAGGCATGACTAAAACATAAAAATACACACATAAAGAGGTAATCTATAAAAGTAATGGTGTTACAGCAACCAGATTCGAGGCGGTATGAGCATGTTCAGTATGGCTGCATATTTCCTTTGCCATGTGCCATAGGCCAAACAATAAAAAGGAGCAGTCACTGTAATTTGTGCAGCTTTTTTTGCAGTCTGGTAAGACAGGGACAGAATGTTATAAGCAATAAGAATCAGTGAGGATCTTTGACGCAGAAGTTTTACTAGTGTCTGCTTTTTTAATAGGAACTATGCCAGGGCAAAGCCTTTCTATCAGCCATTTAAAGATCGGAACATAAAATATAAAAATTTGATTTGCTGTTATGAACACCCTCACTTTAATGATTTACGGCAGCTTGTTATCAAGGAAATATTAAATTACACACACATATATATATATATTTATATTTTTTTTTTAACTGCAAGCAATAGTTTCAAGTTGCTGTTCTGCTTCAGCAGCCATAGCTGCTGCTTGTAATTGCTCTGTTTCACTTTGAATGGCATTACTTGTCACCTGTTTGCGCTGTTCGCTATGCATATTGTTTTCATGACGTTTTAAATCAGAAGCCTTGGCAAATGCTTTTGGGCATGAAGCGCAAATAAATGGTTTCTCGCCTCTGTGTCTTCTCTCATGGTCTTTAAGGTGGGATTTGTGTTTAAATGCTTTATCACAATGGTGGCATGCAAATGGCCTCTCATTACTGTGTACTCGCTCATGCTTCTTGAGATCTGGGGCACGGATAAAAGATTTGGCGCACACTTCACAACTGTAGGGCTTGTATCCTGTATGAATTTTCAAATGCTCCTTTAGGTGTGCCTGTGTGGTAAAAGCCTTGGCACACATTTCACATACAAATGGTCTGTCAGCTGTGTGCAGCTTCTTATGCTTTCTCAGACGAGCCTCATCTGTAAAAGTCTTCCCACAAGCTTGGCATGCAAACTGCTCCCTATGACCATAAAGCAAGTACTCAAATTTCATATCACCTGTCGTTGTCCATGCCTGTGCTTGTTCATCTTTTACTTCATTAATGCTATCATTATAAGTTAGAGCTTGAGGTGTCTGTGACCCTAAATCCTTAGGTTCAGTTGTCTCCATTGTCTCAACTTCTTGACCATAACAATTGACTTTTCGCACTTCTTCACTTCCTAATTCTTTTAGAATGGCCTCTTGAACTCGTAGAGTAGAGGTAGGTGATTTTTCTTCTTCGTGGCTCTGAGGAGTTCCTTCAACTGTGTCATCTGAAGGACTATCCTCATGATCTCCAATCTCTTCAACTTCATCATCTTGATTGTCATTGGCCTCACCACCTGGACGACTTATCTTTAAGCTGGTTTCATAAGCATATTTATTTTTTGGAGAAGAAGGGTTTTCATCTGAGGTGGAAACATCACGTTTTTGAGAGCATAATTTATCCAGAAATCTTATACCAAGTATTTGGCCTGAGGACATCATTAGATTCACATCCTCCTTTTTAACTGCAATTTTAGCAGTGTACATATAGTTGAGGACCTCCTCAAATATGTCAGACCTCAGGAAATCAATTTCTATGACAGAGGAACTATCAACTTCCAGCTTCTTGAAAAGTTTTTTAAAGTATGTACTGCAAGCAGCAAGTACACACCTATGTGCCCTAAATTTTACATCTTCAACCACAATAGCAATATCACAAAATTCACCTTCAAGTCTTTGCTCATTAAGGGTCTTTAAAAATACAGTTTTATGGTCATCATCATTATATTTCAGCGTCTCAGACATGCTTATGAAAAAATCCTGAAGGGAAAGTAGAAAAAAAATGTATGTTAGTGAAAACAAATACCAGGGTTATTGTACCTTAATAAAACTATGAAAATCTAATTGTTGGTGGCGGGAAAAAGTATATATATATATATATATACACACACACACACACACACACACATACTTTTTAAGATACTAGCAAAAGTGTGCTAATTTCAGAACAAGTAAGTTTGTGCAGCAGAGCATTGTGAGCAGGGGGCTAGTTGATTGGAAAGAAGACAGGGTGACTAAGGCACGAGATGGATGGAAGGCACCATGAGCAAGGGGTTGAATGTCCAGATGTCCAGGCAATGGGGGAAGTGGGAGGTTAAGTGGCTGAGGAGAGATGCACTGTCAGAGGGTGAGGTGGCCAGAAAAGGATGTGCTGCTAGTGAGGGGGTGAAATGACCAGGGAGGGGTAAAGTGGCAGGGAAAGAGAGCTGTTAACAGGGGGACAAAATGTAGGTGTGTTATAGGGAGACCCTACAAGCTAGGGAAGGGGGAGATTTTAGTGGAAAAGAGTAGAGGATGTGTTATAAGTGTAATGTGGCAGGGTGTCCAGAAAAAGATGTGCTTTGGTGGAGAAGTGGTCAAGAAGAGATGCTCTATTTAATGGGGCCAGAAAGTGAGGTGGTATGATTCCGGGCTGCTTCCTGCTTTCAGTCCTGATGACAGGCATCTGAGGAATCTGCATGCTCGGATCATCAAGGTTGTCTGAAACTCCCTGTTCAAGCTCAATGCAGACTAGGATCATCAAGACTGTCTGAAACTTCAAGTCACTCCAGTCAAATGCTTACACAGGGCTTAGGACTTCCTTATTGTTGGCACAGTTGGGCCAAGCACCAAGCACCAGTGCTGTCACATGAAAGAAAAGTGCGTTACAAGCCCCTCTATACCTGGAAATAGAGTGTCACTCAGCAAGTTTAAAAAGAGTGTCAGGGGAGTGAAGGAAAGCTATGTAAATGCTAAATGACTTTCAGTTCTTGGTGAATGACTTTGATTTGAAACTAAACTACTCACAATACTCCCTTGAAATCTTAACACAACTTTACAAAGGTTTCTATTTATTTTTGGAGAGAAAGTCATCCTGTAACTTGTAATTATATCACACACACACACACACAAACACTTTTTAAAAAAAGGGCCTACTGTTTTATGAAATAATAATAATAACCAAAACTAGCAATAAAATAACATACCATGAACAAAACAGTAGTTGTCCTTAATGAAGACTGGTGATTCAATGTTAAAAGGATCACCTGAGTGGAGAAATACAACAGTTAAAGAAAAGGAATTTAAATGTATAATCTTAACAAAAAAAAAAAAAAAAACATCATAACTACACATAGTAAACACATCTAAGATTAAAAAGTGTATTATTTTTTTAAAAAAGGTGCAATTTATCTCTTGACATTTTTGATGGTACAAATAATAAACCCCTATCCATTGTTTTCCCACTTTTGTTAGTGTCTGCAAGGCAAATCAGAAGTCATAAGAAGTCTTGTATATCGCACCCAGAAAAACTCAATAAAATGATCAAATTCAAGTTTGGCGTAAAAAAAAAAAAAGGGATTTTTTATTTTGTAAGGCACCTTTAAAATCCCTTTGTCTGAGTTAATTGACGGACACAGCCTTTTCTTATTCTTAACCATAGGGATTATAGTGCCATTTACAGGAGTAGGACACTAGGCAGAAAAAGAACACAGCACCATCTAAGGGCAGTCCTAGCTGCTATAAAACCCCTCTCTGCTATACACAAGCCAGTTAGTCACAAAGCAGTACATGAAACCAAGTAGAGGGTTGGATGCTGTGTCTGTCAATGAACTCAGAAAAAGGGCTTTTACAGGGAGTAACAAAAAAAAAGCCAGTTTTCTCATTTCGGTCATGGACAGGCACAGCCTCTTCTTATTTTTGACCATAGGGACATCCCAAGCAATGTCCTAATGAGGGATTTTCAACGGAAAAAAACAAACAAACAGGGAGCAACCAGGCAAACATGCCAACCACCCAAGGAAACCCCCCCCCCCCCCCCCGGGGGAAACAAAGCAGCTCCAACAGCGACAGCTAGACCTTGTGGCCAAAGTAAGCATCCAAAGAGGCAGCCCAGCAATTGGTAAACGTATGCACAGATTGACCAGGTAGCCACCTTGCAACCCTGAAACAAAGACACTTGAGTGTGCCGAGATGGGGAAGGGAGAATCCCGCCCTGGAATGATAAAAAACCTGAACAATGACCTGCCGGATCCCTCAGGAAAGAGTGACAGGGTCTGACCATGAGCACAGACAGAGAATCCGACCCATGGAAAGAAGCCTAAGCAGACAGGTCTGCATGAGCCACCCCAAGCACATCCAAGGAATTCAGCACAACCTCCTTAGAGTGAGAAGGTCTTGGGCACAGGGAAGTGAGGATAATGTTGTCAAACAAGTGGAAATCTGACACACAGCACCCTCGGAAGAGGGACACAGATGGAGAACCCTTTCATACCTGTGTAGAATCCCTAAGAAAACCTACAGGATAAAGCCGCCAGCAATGACACCCGCTGTGCAATAGGGAAGATGACCAAAGGGACAATTGTCTGAGACAGCATGCATAGGGAAATATCCTGAAGACTCCAAGGAGAGACTTCAGGGGAATCAAAAGAACCAAGTGTAGGTCCCACAGTGGCAATTGAGAGCACAGGGAAGGTGCCATATGGCGAACCCTGAACATGAAGGGCAAGAAACAAGGAGTGCATGGACAAGGGATTTGGAAAGATCACCAGGGCAGAAACCTGCCCCTAGATGGAAGACAAGGTAAGCTTTCGTTCAATGCCCCGTTGGAGGAGACTAAAACCCAAGCCACCAAGGAGGAGCATGAATGGACACCCAGAGCCTAGCATCAGGAGATGTAAGCCTTCCAGGTGCAAAGCAAAATCTCCAGAGAAAGATACGATTTCAATATAGTAGGGAACACCAAACCTGACAATCCTCGACTCTCACAACCCGGCTGTCAATAGCCATGCTGCCAGGCCAGAGAAAATACAACAGGATGGAAGATCGAGCCCTGATACAGGAGGTCATCACAAAGGGGCAGCTGCCAAGGAGCATCCACGACCTGTCGCACCACATCGACAGATCTGAAGGGACGAAGCCAAGCTGGAGCCACCAGAAGGCCATAATCCCTTCAGCCGTTACCCTGCGTGGCAGGCGAGAGAATGGCTTATAAGGAAGAAAATGAATAAACTAGGCAATACAGATAAAACAGTGCTACCAGTGCATCTGTTACATCCACCAGAGGGCTTGCGCTCTCACACAGATCGCAGCACCTTCCTATTGAAACAGGACACCATCGGGTCCATGTCAGGGGTCCCTTAGTGCAGGCAAATCCAGTGAAACACATATAGGTATAGGGCTGCACCCCTTATTCCAGCATCTTCCATCTGAGGTAATATGCCTGCCGAGCTCTCTATGCCAAGGAAGTGCATGGCGGAGAAAGCAGGAATGAGCTGCTCTGCCCACCGCAGAATGTGGGATGCTTCCAGCGCTGTCGTTGCATTCCACGTGCCAACCTGAGGGTCAGCATAGGCCACCGTGGAAACATCGTCCAAAGGAATCCTGACCTGGATCCCCTCAGACAGTCCATTTAGTGCTCCACAGACAACCTGATCGTCTGCAGTTCCAGGACAATGATGGGCAGGCGAGCCTCTATTGGCCTCCAACGGCACTGCATCGATCCCAGATCCCCATCCAGCAGAAAGGAACTGTCATGCCCACTGTTCCACCAGAGGAGTGTGACAGATCTAACCGGGACAGGGGCTTTTGGAGGGGATTTTAGGCTAGTATATTGCCTACTGACCATGGGTCCTGGCACCTGAGGGGGCTCTATTGCTTAAGAGGTGTTTGCCTGGGAGGACCTTTGGAGTAGTTTTACTTTGGATTCCAGTCAATGTGTCCCCGAAGTACACAGACTGAGAACTGGAGGACCAGGACAAAGGTCTCCCCTTCATAGACTCAGAGAAAATGCTAATACAATCAGCTTAAAACAACCCGATGCTGAAGTTTCTTGTTGTAATCTGTTTATTAAGTGTGATGTGTTACCGTTGTGTCTTTTTTCCACTGTTAACGGAGTCATCAATTGTTTGTCTGTTGGCTAGTCCTCCTGTAGGTTCCCATGTGATGGGATTAGTCCTTGTGTCAACTTGATCTCGTTACCTAATCAGCGTGGGGGAGGTTTATCCCAATGTGTAATGTTTGTTTTTATTGTTCATGTGGGGACTGCAACTATTTTTGAAGTGTATAAAAATCTGTATTTCTGTTCAATAAAGTAGTTCCAGTTTCAGCTAAGTTACTGTCATCTAGTTCTTGGGTGCAATGCACAGCTATAATACCTTGGTCCTGTGTCCCAGCGGCGAGGAAGCAGTTCTCTGATGGAAGCACCCATGTGGTGTGCAAGGCAGTCCCATTTGGTTGGCAGCAGCAGGATGCTTCCTGCAGTCTGGGACATCCAAACCACCACCGGAATCTGAGGTCCAGTTAGCAAAAGAGGAGAGGTACAGATACCAGCCACCATGGAAGAGGAATTCGAAGGAGGCTGCAAGAGATGCAGATGAAACACGGGACCAGTGCCAACGCAGGTGCTGCTGGGATGGTATGACTCTTTCCGCTGGCAACTCTGGAAGGAAGAGCTAGACTAAGAGCAGCACTGCCAGGGAAAAATTCTCCTCTCCATCCAGAAAAGGTACTGATTGCAGTGTGAAGTGCTGGTGCAGTTATTGGGGAACAACTGCACGAGGAGTGGACAGCTTAAGCGGGAGGTCTGGGCAGAGATGCAGCTGGACGGGAGCTTCGGAGCCCTCCTGCTGGCATGTAGCCCGAGTGAGCCCCTGGACAGCGGATGACAGCCTGACGGAAGACTTTGGCTATGGCGACTTGGGGTTGTTGTTCTGGAGGCTGTCAGAGGACCCTGACTTTGGGAGTGAATTATGTATTACAGAGACCAGATGCTGAACATCTCGG